TAAAAGGTCATTCATTAGCTGTTGCTTCATGAAATCTAGATTAGGAAAATCTCACAGTGACCTCCCTAGATTTCTTTCTGTATCAGTGCATCACTCGAAGTTTGAAACATACTGACCAAAATGCCCTTGAGAAAGAAACTGTATTTTGAAACAATCCAAGGTTTTTTTTTAAAAAAAAATGATATACAATCATCTTGGGAAATAATGATTAAAGCTTCTTTATAAAATATATCTTTAAAAATATATGACATTACTTAAAGGCACATCAGAATTTAAGGCAACAGAAGTATTTGGTGCAATCATCAATGCAAAAGGATTTCTCTTTCTAGTCAGACACTAGAAAACACTTTCCAGCAATAGACCATGAGATATACTACAGCTTACAGAATTATATAAAAATGTTACAGCACCAAGATTTCTAATGCATTCCAAACTAGGAAACGAAATGATTCAAAGAACAAAGTATTTTAGTGAACTGCAGGAATATAAGGCCAGCTCTTATCTTCTCATTTTGGATCTTTTCATGTTTTAGGAAGCCATGATAAGCAATAATGGTATTTTGCACAAAAGTCACTACAGTTTGAGTATTATTTATCCAAAATGCTTGGAAATAGAAGTATTTTGGATTTTGGAAAATTTCCATATAGATAAATGTCATTTCTTGGATATGGATTCAAATCTCAACATGAAATTAATTTATGTTTCCTATTCACCTTATATGCTTTAACCTAAAGGGAACTTTATGCACACTATTTTAATAATTTTGTGCATGAAACAAAGTTTGAACCATCAGAAAGCAAAGATGTCCCTGTTTCAATCAACCATGTGCACAAATTTGGATTAGAGACCATTTCTCATTTCTGGATAAGAGATACTCAGCCTGTGTAAGCTAAGAAGAATTCAGTATCAACTCTGTAATCTGGAGAAATAGTTCTACATGATTATCATTTCTTTCAAAAATGCACTGAAAGGCTGAACTAATGGAAAAGGTGAAAAGGAGAAGGCTTAATGAACTATTAAGGAGCATCCGTAAGCGATATAACAGGTATAGCAGAGCCCAACCACTTTCTGAAAGTCATACCCAAGGGCACATTCAGTTTCCATATCATAAAGCAGTGAGTCATGCTAGAATCGTCCTTTAAAGAATCAAATTCAAAATTCATTGCAAGATGCTACATTACTCATAGCATGTGCAAAGAATAGAAAAAATACATGGCCATGATTAATGATTTGAGATGTGAAGTAGTTTCCTTACTAAGAACCACTAAGAGCATGAGTATTCTTATATACTGTCTGCAGAGTATATCATATATCCAATATATGTAGAAACCTTATTTGAAATACAGGGTAATATATGCCTATTTATTAGAAAGTGGTATATGCAGTGTTCTCTTCTTTCTTCTCCAGTTATGGTTTGTTTTCTGGTTGCTTTTCAGAAGGTAATTTCACAGGAGTCAGGCCAACCTGCTTGAAGTAGGTGACCAGTTGCTTGGGAACTTCGGCCAAAACTGTCTGGGAAAGTGCTTCACGAGGAGCCTAAATCAGGGAAGAAGCACAAATGGAGAATAAGTGTTACAAAAATATTCAGAAACACTGGCAATTTCTTTTTAA